TCACAACTCTGCCACTTGGAAGCTGTGTGACCTTGAACAAGTCACTTCACCTCTCTGTGCCTCGGTTTCCTCATCGGGTGTAACCATGGCACCTACCTCATATGGCTGTTATGGGAACAAAAGGAAGTAACACTTTTGGGGGCTCAAGCCATGCCCTTCAAAGTCCAACTCTTCATGTATCCGCTGCTCCTGGCCTGTCTGATATTACACCAACGTATTCCCAAGCGCCGCAAGTCCCCAGGTTGGGGACATCACATGCGTCCTCATACTTGTGAAAATGTAGCAGCATGATATAAGGGACGGACAGAAGAGCTGGGGTTTTCTGTAGAAATGAAGGGGAAGCAAGAAAGGCGGGGGGGTGGCAGGGGCCTTCTCCTGAGGGGCTATGGGCCCGCCCCACACTCATGCGTGTGTGTGTGCGTGTGTGTGTGTGTGTGTGTGTGTGTGTGTGTGTGTGTGTGTGTGTAAGGAGGGGTAGATGTAACAGAAGCCTCAGTGGAAGGGGAGGGGTCCCCGGCCAGGCCCCCTGCTTCCCTGCAGCATAAGAAGACACTTAGAGCCTGGCAAAGAACCGGACACAAAGGACAACAGACATAACAACCAACATCTATCCCACAAATGTTGACTGACCACCTATTGCTGCCAGTGTCCTGAGCACTGGGGAGCCAGCCGTGAAACAACACAAACTCAACCTCCACCTTCACGGAGCTGGTGGACCACACACAAAACAAACGAGGAACACCGAGGAAAAGTCAACGGTGGCAAATGCTAGCAGAAAAATCAAGCACAAAAGCGTGGGGAGATCAATATTGAATGGGGTGCTGGGAAAGAGCTGACTTCAAGAAGTTTCCAGAAACAGTCTTGTGGCCAACTGGGGGAAGAGCATTCCAGGCAGCGGGAAAGGCAGTGCAAAGGCACTGAGGTGGAGTGTGCCTGGTGTCAGGAGCCAGTGTGGCAGAAGCCAGTGACCAGGCGGGAGAAGGAGAGGACGCCAGAGTGGCAGAGAGGCCATGTAGCCAGGGAGGGGCTGAGGGCCACCTTCACGCAGGGCCTCAAGCTTTGGGGAGGATGTGGCTTTGACTCTAAGTGGGGGGAGGGGCAGTTGTCAGAGGGGGGCTGTGCAAAGGAGAAACGGGTCTGATGATCACTCAGATGCAGGGTGGCCGGGGGACTGGCAGGGGTGGGGGCAATGGTGGAAGCGGAGAGGCTGCTGCCGAAGTCCACAAGAGAGAGTGGGCACTGTCCCACCCATGACAGGGGAGAGAGTGGGTCTAGAGTCGGGACACCAAACGTCCAGCTCCTCCTCTCCCTTCTCTCTGGCCGCCCCTATCCCACTTCCCTCCAGCCACGCTCACAAGCCCTCCTAGACCCTGCCACCCCATCAGTCCTCCGGAGCCACCCACTTCCTGAGGTCCAAACACACACTCCCTGAGACTGAAGTCCAGCATCACCTGTGCTCCCCGTCAGCACAGCCACCTGCCTGCCAGCCCCACCTGCCCGCCTCCAGACGTTCACTCGTGACCCCTCCAGGCCTTTCTCTGCTGCCCCTCCAACCCCAATGCCTGCGTCTGCACCCACCCGAGCCTTGCGAGCATCTAATCCAGAAGAGAGATCCAATCTGCGTGAAGGGCTTGGGGTAATTCTGTGTCGAGGCCACACTTGTCTTTCTGTTTGTTGAAGGAGGCTGATGCTCCTTCTTGGAGGAAGGAGAAAAGCTTCCTTTGTGCCGGGTCTGGGGAAATTGTGTCTGTTTAGGACAGGCTGCAGTTTTCTTTGTGAACGCCGTAGATTTTTCGTGTGGGAAAAGGGTTTATTAGATTTCCCTGTGGCTGCCCAGAATGGGGAGAGGTTTTTCTGAGCACAGAAAGAAATTACCAAACAGGCGTTTGAGAGGAAGGAACATTTAGCACCTGCTTCTCACGGAGAGGTTAGTATTTCGTGGTTGGTGTTTTCATTGGAGTGAACATAAAATGCAGAGAAAGGAAGAAAGCCTTCCCTGTAGTTTCATGGGCATGAGGGAAGGAAGTTGGTCCTTGATGTTCTGGTGGGGAGGACAGGATTTTGTTCGGCGGGGAGGGCTGTTGGGGTGTTGTTTTTTTTTTTTTTCTCTTCAAGTAGAAAATAAATTTTAAAATGGTCACAGAACCCAGAAGAAAGGTTGTCATAGCAACAAAAGTTTGAGGCCAGGTACCTCCTGACACCCTTTCAGTACCATGACCGTGGAGGGGCAGGATTTGGGCACTGTAGGATCAGTGGGGGAAACCATCCAAAGCTTGGCTCAGACCTCCCGAATTTCTCACCAGCACTGACAGGCTGATAACTATTTTCCAAGCTCCCAGGGAGGAAAATTGTGATTTTCTGGGAGGGGCGATCTCTAGCCAACAGTGATCAAGAGGAAAGAGAAAACTGTGGGTTTGGTTTATTTACCCAACAAACTAACCATCAATGTTTTTACTAACCAAGGACTGGGGGTAAGGGTCTTATGCTGAGCCCCCCCAGATCACGCCTTTCTCTGACCCCCAACTGTACCATTCTCTTCCCTGATCACTTCATTTTGATTCCTTTGTGCCCCATGAAGACAATTCAGGCCCCCTCATCAGCTGTGAGGCCAGACGAAAACCTCTCTTAGCTTCAAATTCCTCATCTGAAAAATGGGCACCATAGAAGTGCCTGCCACAAGGGTGTTGGCAAAAAATGGGCACCATAGAAGTGCCTGCCACAAGGGTGTTGGCAAGGATTCAACAAGATCCGGCCGGTGAGAAGTTTTAACAATGTCTGGTGCACATGAAGGGCTCAATAAACGTGAGCTAGCATTGTTTTTAATTAACAATGTTTTTAATGCTTAGCTTTAAACATCCTGTATCAAGCCCTGGAGGAGCTACACGGACAAGCTACAGGGAAATAACTGCAAGAGTTGGGGGGCGTGACCTTCAGGAAGAAGCTAGGAGAGACCTCAAACAATTGAGAGGCTCAGCTGGCCAGCGAGGGCCCAGGTACTCCATGGGGCAGAGACAGGACAACTCCACTGCAGGACACAGCATTGGATTTAAGTGTGTACATAAAGGAAAGGGCAGGGAGTCTGCGTTTTTACACAAAGGAGAAACTTGGTGAGAGGCGGAGGTGAGGTGGGGGGACCCCACCCCAAAGCGTGCAGATATTTCCCAGGACGAGGCATTCCGAGGCCTCCATGGGAGAGGATTGGGCTGAGCGGAAAGCAGGGAATTTTAGCCAAGATGTCCTTTAAGGTTAATTATTATTAAATCATTAAATTATTATTATTATTACATCCCAGAGTAAAAATTCAAGTCCTGAGTGCACATCAGAAGTGAGTCTGATGGGGTGAAACTGGTAAGGGGTGGGACCCTATTCAGAGTGTCTTTGGCAAACAGCCGGCATCAAGCAAGTGGTCCCAGGAAAGTTCAGTGGGGCACCCCTACAGGCAAGACAGGGCAGGCAGCACCCCGGGAAACCTCTGGTTCATGGTCCCGAAGCCTCATCCAACATTTATCCTGCAAATAGGTATTGAAGACCTTCTATGCACTAGACGGTACCCAGAAACTGGGCATGGCAATGAACAAGACGTCTGGGGCCCTGCCCTCATGGAGTGACATCCTATGGGTAAGGGGGACAAGAAGCTGGTGACCAAAGGCATGCCCCCAGAAAACTTCAGGTGTGCCCAAGTGTGATGGGGGAGATAAAAATGGTGGTGAGCTACGAAGATGGGGAGGCCCTGCCTCCAAAGGGGGATAGGGGGGTCTTCTCTCCAAGGGACCCGGCCTGGGAAGGCGGGTCAGGAAGTCCCATTGGAGCTCAGGAGGAGCCAGCCAGGGAAGATGTGGGGAAGGGCATTCCAGGCAGAGGCAGCAGCCTCCCCGGGTTTATTTCACACCTTCCTCTCTCTGTCCCTTAAACCAGTCAGGCCAACGCCGTATTCAGGGCAAACTAGCGGTTGTGGCCCACTCCTGTCTACATGAGACTACACACATAGCCCACGCTGACATCGAAGAGCTAGGCAGGCACGGGGAGTTTTAACCTTGGGCAAAGAGGTCAATTCCACTCAAGAGGGTCCCCAGACTTGGCCTCGGAGCAACATCGTCTGGGAGGTACCGGGTGGTGTGGACCAGCATCCCCAGCATGTGGTACAACCACCGCCAGGCAGCTTTCCCCTGAGTCCTGCCCTAGCCTCAATGCCTGCCTCGGGGACACTTACTCCGGCCCTGCCTGCCTCCGGCGGCAGGTCCAGGAAAGGGTGCGAGGCCGAGGGAACAGTTTGATCTGCCTTCTGAAGAGTCCCCCCCACCCCGCGCCCCAATTCTGATCCGAGCCTCGCCGAGCTGTCCCGCTTTCCCGCCGCATATTCTCCCGGGCAGGGGCCGGGACGCGAAGGGCTCCCTGCCGGGAACCCACCAGACTGCCCCCACTCCTCACTCCCGTGCTGCCCAAACCCGGTCCGGGAGAGGTTTAGTGCAGACTGGGGATGGGGGTGGAAGAACGAGCCCCTCGGCTTCTGGCTCTGTGGATCTGCGGTGGAAGGGGCGGCTGACAGCACCAGTCCCTGCGCCAACACCATCGCCACCCCAGGCGGGAAGGGATGGATGGGAGTAGCCAGTGCCCCGCGAAAGGAAGAGGGGGAAGGGGCGAGCATGGAGATGAGTTCTGGCTCGGAAAGGAACGGGGTGGGTGCCGGGAGACGCGCCTCTCCAAGGCGCGGCGACGTCCCCACAGGCGCCTGGTGCTCGGAAGGGGCACGAGCTCTGCCCGAACCTTGAAACGGCGGAGCGTCCCGAACGCCATCATTCGACACCCCCGGACCTGCCCACCGCGCTCCCCGCCCCCGAACGCTCGGCCGAGCCTGCGGAGCGCGGGGCACGGCGTCCTGGCGGTGGCGCGGGCCCCCGGCCCGGGCGCGAGGAGGGAGCGCGGGTTTGGGTCTGGGGCGCCGGGGCCGCGCAGCCCGGGGGAGCCGGGAGCGGAGCCCCGGGGCGCCGCCGCTCACTCACCGAGCCCGCCGAGCTCCTCCTCGCACGAGTACCAGATGCCGGTGTGGAAATTCCTGAAGAGGAATCGGTCGTCGCCTGTCTCCCAGCTGTAGAGCTCGACGCCAGGGGGGCCGTTCCCCGCGGCGGCGGCGGCGGCGGCAGCGGCGGCGGCGGGGGCGGCGGTGCCGTTGGCCGTGGCGTTGGCGCCCGAGTTGGGGCAGTTGGTGCTCCCGCCCTGGCCGCAGACCGGCTTGGGCACCCGCTGCGTGCCCTGGCACCAGTGAGTGGTGAGGAAGGCGGTGGTGGCGAAGAGCAGCGCCAGCAGGTTCAGGGCCACGGCCAGAAGCGCTCGGCCGCGGCGGTTCGTCTTCATGCCGCCCGCGCCGCCGGGACTGCGCCGCCGGGGAGCTCCGCGCGCGAAGTTGGCAGCCGGCGCCCCGCGTCAGCGGCCGCTGCCCGCCGCGCCCCGGGGCTCGGGCGCCTGCGATGGGCGGCGGCGGACGCGGCGCTGGCCCATGCCCCCGCCCCCGGGGTGGGGGCGCGGGGGGCGGGCGGTGGCGGAGCGGCTCCTGCGCGCCCGGAGCCCGGAGCGCGAGTGCACCTCGGCGAGGAGCCGCTGGCGCCTGGCAGCGGCCACGGCGCAGGGACGCGCGCCCCTCCGTGGGGAGACACCTGCAGGCGGCCGGCGACACTGTTCTGGTTCCCGCCCTCACTGGGAGAGGGGGCGCCCCACGCCGGTCGCTGGCGGGGGCCCGGCAGAGAAGGGCGCCCCCTAAAGAGACCCGCACCCGAGTGGAGAGTCTGAGAAGGAAAGAGAGTGCCAGAGAAGGCGCTCTCAGAGAAAGAGGCTTCCCACCGGGAACGTGAAGCAACAAAACCAGCCAGGAGGGGTCATCTCACACAGGAACCAGAGAAGTCCCGCCCTCTGGAGAGAAGGGCAGAGCCTGCTGGGGCTCCCCACGACGAACATGGACCCGCAGCGCCCTCCCCTGGAGGCCCGGTAGGGAGCCCCAAGAAGGAGCCCCAAAGAGTCTGAGCTGCAGAGTTGAGTTTTTTGGGCTTCCCACACCCAAGAAGCAGCAGGGCCCACTGAAAAGGATGCCTCATTACTGATCCTGGAGTTGCAGGACCTGTCAGGAGGGGTACCTCACCAGAAATGCGGGGTTGTAGAGTCTAAAGGGCTTGTGCTTCCCCTGGGGGTCTCCCAGGGAGATTTGGGCTGTGTGAACCAACAGGACAGGCTCCCCTGGCAGGATGAAGCTGCAGTCACCCGGGCTCCTTATCATGGCATGGTACGGCACGAAGGGTGGCAAAGAAGTGTGCCACACAGGATGCCAAGTGTCGGATATGACGAATGGGACTTCCCCATGCAGGCATCCCCACCCACCTGAGATCCTTAGCAGTATGACCCAAGGAGATACCACACCAGACACAAAGTTGTTGCAGTTATCAGGCAGGGGTGCCCTACAGAGGCTGCCAACCCAGAATCTCCAAGGTGGGGGGTGGGAACAGAAAGGTCAAGAATACTGACTTTGGGGTCAGGTGACCCTGGGGGCTTGACCAGCTGTGGGCTTTGAACAAGTTATTGTACTAAACCTTTCTGAGTCTCAGTTCCATATCTATAAAAGGGAGGAGGAATATTGGGCTGTCGGAATGAGATCACACCTGCAAAAAGCACTTGGCACCTAGTAGGTGCTCAATAAACGCTGGCCATCATTATTATTATTATTAACATCTGAACCAAGATCAGAGGATTAAATTCACACAGACCTTTTCAGGATCTCTTGTGCAAGGTGGGATTGCCCAACTATGAACGCTCCATCCCCACCTCTGCTCTAAAATAACCACGACCCCTGAAGCCCCGTCACACTGCAAAGCACAGGGTGCCCGGATGCCCAGGATGTGCAACAGTTAATTGCATGTTGATTACAAGAGCTCATCTGAATTCTGCCCAATCTGAGAACCGCTCCAACAGCCCCCTGCTCGTGGAGTGGCAAGGCTTGCAGAATTCAAGGTTAACGGATTGCCTTACTCTGGTGGGTGAGCCTGTGCTCCCTAGCTGCTGCTGCTGTGCCTGGGGGTAGGTGAGAATAATTGTAGCCAACGTTCCTGGCAGGAACCCATAGGAAGGATGGCCAAGGGTCTCCAGACTTGTTCATTAGATCCCTTTTCCTGCCCTAGGCAAGGCGTTCCCAGCTATTTTGAGGAGGACCTCCATTCAGTATTGAGGGTATTGGTTGAGAGAGAAAATACGTCATGGCCAAACAGCTGAAAAGAATTCAGTGACACTTTTAAACGGCCGAGCAGTATTCATCGGAGCAGTACCTGTACACATTTGAAAACCAGTCCCTCAGATGTTGGCTTGAGACGGCGGTTCATGTGCATGTGTGTAGCACTCGGGGACCTACAGGCTGGGAACCCTGTCCTGGGCATTCAAAGCCGGGAGAGCCCAAGTGACATATGTCTCAGGGACCACACTCTCTTAAGAAGTACCCAGAGGAAGCACAGAGGGGGTTGAAATTTCCATCTAAGACAGTCTTCCACTCTCTGAGTGCCCATTGGATGCTCAGCACCGGAGAGAAAAGAGCATGAACAACATTAATAAGTACGTTGTAGAGTCGGCAGGTGTTAAGAGCCAAGGAGAACAATAAAGGGAGGAGGACAGGAGTGAGCGTAGCAGATTGCGATTTTAAATCAGGGCTTCAAGGAGATCTCACTGGGAGGTTGACATTGGAGCAAAGGCCTGAAGGAGGGTGGGAGCAGGCCATGGAGATATCCCAGGAAAGGAGGTTCCAGGAAGAGGGAGCAGCCAGTGCAAAGGCCCTGAGGTAGGGGATAACTGAGAAAGCAGTGTGGCTGGAGATGAGTGAGCAGGGAGAGTAGAGAGGTGATGGGGGGAGGGGACAGGTCATCGTGTGTGGAGTCAGTTACAAGGACTCCAGCATTTATTCTGAGTTGGGTGGGAGCCTGGGGAGGTTCTGAGTAGAGGAGAGACATATCTGACTTGGAGTATAACAGGACCACTCTAGATGCTGAATTAAGAAGGGGGAAACAGAGACCAGCTGGGGGCTAGTGAGTGAATCCGTGCAAGTAATGCCAGCGGCTCAGACCAGGGTGGTTGCAACGAGGTTCTGCATCTGTGTCAATTTTCAAAAGCAGATCCAGCAGGATCTGAGGTGGGATGTGTAAGACGCCTTTGAGGTGTTTGGCAGGAGCTCCTGCAAGGACAGAGCTTCCCTGTGCTGAGCCCGAGCAGGTGGGGGCGGGGCGCGGGGAAGCTCCAAAGTTCTGACTGATGTTGCCCTGGACCTTGTACTCGAAGTGAGGATAAGGACGAGGGGGGTGGAGATTGTGCCACCAGAGGGCGCCACTGCATGTGTCTACACACCCTTCCGGAACCGAATCCAAACTCATGAGCAAGCCCCTTGGATAGGATACGTATTTTTATCCTCAAATAATGTTACAGTTGCCTTGGGTGTGGACAGGTGTTAAAGAAAAATTATCCATGACACTTGTTAAGACGGTAAGGCAGCCTTTATTCAGGGACCACTGCAAAAGGAGTTTTGCCACAGGAGAGAGATTGGGCTGAACTCTGAACACAGCGACAAGAGGGGATTTATCGCCAAGGGGCAGGGGGGCGGTCGGTGGGCGGAGGAAACCTCAGGGCTGGGGGGATTCTGGCTAAAGCGACTTGACAGGATTCCTGCTGAAGGCGGCCCAGCAGGGTAAGCTGTCTGGAGTGGGGAATGAGGAACTTGATTGGGTTTCAAGGATGAGGGATTCTTGCTAAACTGAACCAGTAGGATTCTTGCTAAAACTGGAGTAAGCCGGCCAAGGACAGAGCCTAAGGTCAGGGCCTAGTTGAGAAAAGGGCTCAGAGGAGCCCGACTAAGGTTTGGTCAAGGAGGGTCTTTGCCTGGGGTGGGGCTGAGGTGGGGAGGGAGCTTGTTTAGGAGGCCAGAAATGTGGGCCCAAGCCCCTGTCCCCTCCTCTTCAGACACTGTCAAAGGCCAAGGCCTCCTGTCTCCCAAGACCCCCGACCGGGGATTGAACCCCGGCCACGGCAGTGAAAGCACCGAGTCCTAACCACTGGACCAGGGAATGCCCCCAATGCCTCTGTTTAACCTGCTCAAGTACTGCCCTCTGCCGGCCCCAGGACAAAGTCTAGATGCCCCAGTTTGCCTTTCCAGGTCCTGTACGGCTGGCCCTGCCCACATCTCAGCCCCTCCCATGCCGCCGACACACCAAGCCACTTTGCGCTTCCTGATAACCGTGGCCTGGGACAGTCCCCCAGGCCTCGCCCACCTCCCTCCCTCCCCCTCCCTCTGCCTGGATGCCCTGGCTGTGCTGATCCTGTGCGTCCTTCAAAGTGCTCGTCACACATCGCTCCACGCACGGCAGAGCCTTCCTTGGCTCTGTCCATCTCCGTCTGGCCCTTCATCACCCCTCCTGTGCTGTGATGTCTGTGTTCACGCTCATCTCCCCCACGGGCCTGGGGGTCCCTCAAGGTCACCTCCACCGGCAGCCTGCAGGCCAAGTCTGGCCCATGAGCATGTTTTGTTTGGCCTGGTTGGAATTGGCCTCCACAGGGTGCTAAATTTTCATGAGTTGCCAACATTCAATAATCATGATTTCACATAAAAACCTAGACTTTCAGCTTCTCTGGCAAGATCAAGTTACCTGCCGACACCGGGCCTGCATTTTTGCCTGGCAACCATTGCCAAAGTTCCCCGTAAAGCGGATCACAAGGGACCACAGTCCCACTGGGCCCTTCCATCGTTAGGGACACCTGTGGGGAGCCCCTGGGGGCATTCAAATTTGAGAACCTGGAATCAAGGCCCCAAACATTTTTGATAACACCATGTAGCACGTCTGTGGTGCTAAAAGTCAGGGTGATGGTTAGTCTCGAGGTGGCATAGTGACTGAAAGGGGCCCCTGGGGGTGGGGCTTCTGGGGGTTGGTCACACAGGTGTGTGCACTTTAGGAAAACTCATTGAGCCATACAGTTGGGAACTGTGCCCTTTTTTATATTCAACAAAATTTACCAGAAAAACTGTTGCTGTTAATAATCCAATTCATACTTTTCAGGAACCATGAATATGCTTTGAAGGGACATGACCCGAATGCATCTCACTTTCTACTTGGAGTGAGCTGCTGCAAACACTCTTGCCAGCTTCTGGGCCTCCTAAGTCGCTTCCTGTTTGCTTTTTCTTTTTCAAAAAAATTTATTTGTTTTTATTTTGGGCTGTGTTGGGTCTTCGTGGCTGCACGCGGGCTTTCTCTAGTTGCGGCGAGCGGGGGCTACTCTTCGTTGCAGTGCACGGGCTTCTCATTGCGGTGGCTTCTCTTGTTGCGGAGCATGGGCTCTAGGCACGCGGGCTTCAGTAGTTGTGGCACGTGGGCTCAGTAGTTGTGGCTCACGGGCTCTAGAGCACAGGCCCAGTGGTTGTGGCGCATAGGCTTAGTTGCTCTGCGGCATGTGGGATCTTACCAGACCAGGACTCGAACCCATGTGCCCTGCCTTGGCAGGCAGATTCTTAACCACTGCGCCATCAGGGAAGCCCAGCCACGTCCTGTTTTCTAAGCCTTCAAAATAAAGCTTGGGAAACCAGAGCATCTCCGGCCTCCAGGCCCTCCTAATTATAGCAAGGAATTAGCCAATTTCCAATTACTGGTGAGGTTTTTTAAACATTGACTCCCAAGGTATCTAAGCCTAATACACACTTTACTCCCTGGTTCAGATGCCTCTCCAGGGCTTCAGTGAAAGCCGGCCTCGCAACGCTGGTGTGTTT